ATAAATATCGCGAATGTAACAATATAGACGTTTTAAGTATTGTTGTTAGATTTAATAAATAAATATTGAACGGGTAATTATTATGAATAATAACAATATAATAGATGAATTCATAGATTGACAAAGTAAAATAAATTAATACATAATATACAAGACGCCAGAAAAAATATAATTGGTATTTTATTAAATATAAAGGATATAGTAAAAGAAACCATAATATATATATATATAGTTGAGTAACGTTCGTGAAGAATATGGATGCAACTTAGCTGCACAATTATCGCGCGTGTGACTAATACACTTAAGACCAAAAATATTTCATTAATTGAGCTCCCTTTACGTGCGGTCAAACAATGATATATAATATAGACAAAATGAGATAAGAGAGACCAATGAATTGCTTTTACAACGATGGAATTGATAAATTTAAGCAATATAACGTACTTGAAAAGAGAACAAAACAATATACAATGTAAGATTAAATTAATTTTAAAACGTCTCTTTCCTGTGATATATGCAAAGCCGGAGATGTGTCGTTCTTCCTGACGTAGATCCTCCCGTTTTTTGTCCACACATATTGATACTGCTTAAGTTTCGCCGTCTCCCTACATTTCTTTAGTAGAAGTTTATTGCACTGTGTAAGATGCTCATTGACATATACAGGACGAACGCTGCCATGTATGGCAAGGTGGTTTGGTGGTCAGTCGGTTTTTTCGAGTGCCAGAGATTATGTTGTCCTTTAGAAGACGGGATTTAAGCTTTGCAATTATATTTTTCGGGCGGCCCTGTTGTTTGATTTTCGGTGTGACACGATTAACTTCTAATATATCATTAGGGGAAATAGTTACATTAGACTGCTTAGCAATGGATATAATTAAATTGGTTAAGTCTTCATCCTTGATTTCAGGAACGCCGACGATCTCTAAGTTCAAAAGGCGATCTCATTGATTATTTGTGTTAATTTGCAATTGTAATAGTCTGTTTTCGTTAGTCAATAAGTCCATTTTAGATTCTAGTGATTCGATTGCTTTTTTGTTAACAGATAATAATTCCATTTTCTTTTGAACATGGTCATATTGGTCGCAATTGAATTGTACAGAGTTTTCTTAAACTGTGATTTGCTTCATTGTCTCGTTGTACTTTAGGTCAAGAGATATGACCGACTTTTTAATCTCGTGATATTCCTGACGGACGCTGCTTAGTTCCGACATGATCTCAGCAAAGGATGCATTTAGTTTCTCAAGATCGGTTTTTAATACGAAGTCTAAATTATTTTTAATTCCTGATATTTCATCTTGAATTTCCTTTTTCCAGTCATGTAAAGTTCTACGTATCTCTGAGGTAAAATTATTGAGAGCCTCTGAGAAGTCGTTGTCGTGTTTATGCTTTCGAGTAGTCATATTGCTAGGCTCACCTGATTTATTGATGTCAGGGTTGGAATTGTAAGGCTTGCGTGGCGTGGAATCTTTCCTTATATGAGCTAATACACAATCTGCCACTTTCTGATTTGGTTCGGCAAACATCAAAATCCGGCGGTGTTCACGAAAATGTCCGTTTTTCACTCCTAAAATTTTTTCGTGAAATTTGTGCTTATAGAAATTTACACCACTGTATAAAGCATCCTTTTTCGCATCAAATGTATAAATATATATAAAATAATATTATAATAAATAGTTATTTTAAACAATATATTTCAAAATATGGACAATTGTCACCTGTCACTTTTCTTGATATTAACATATATTATATCAATATATGTTAATATCAAGTTAATTAATAATAATATATAATTAATATGTTTATATTAATATTAACATTATTTAATTGTTATCACTGTATTTTAAATACTGATATTTTGTCAAGAAATCATCGTAAAAGTATTTTTTAAATTAAGTCGTAATAAAATGAGTCCTCATTTTTTGAGGTCTATACGTTGATTCTGTTCCATTTGTGGAGACGCTATAGTTTTTTTATTTTTTTATTATTATTAAAGTATGATGGTCTTTTTTCTGTTTAATGAGAGTTCTTTACTATTTCTCTAAATATTATAGTACTCGAAACGTCTGGAATATATAATAAGTTAATATACGCGATAAAGTCCGTAAAACTAGTTTTACTTAAATGTGTAATGAACGCGAAAATATAAGAAATCATTATAATTATTCAGTCTTATCCGTTTTTTAAACATCTTTAAATATGAAAATAACATCAAAAATTTGGACAATAATATTCTTAGATTTTGCAAGATATTTCTGTACATATTTTTTATATTTAGTTACTACTACATTTAGATTTTAGTTGTTTGTCAAGCAGTATCTTTAATTTTTTCACACAAGATAAATAATAAATAAATGATTATGACTGTTTCAATTACTTTCATTACTAAATGAATGTAGTGCCCTATCCAAAAGCATATTTACATTCCGGTAATAATATAACCATTACACATAAACACCATATAATAGAATAGAATATTCTTTATTAAGTAGACCAATTATTTAAAACAAATTTAACAAACTTATAAAATTAAAATTACAGTAACAAAAAATATTTTGCAGTTCGACTCTACTATCCTTGTCCAAGCGACGAGCCTCGGTCGTAAAATTTTATTGCTTTTTGCACGTAGCTTTGTCAATACAACTTTATGCAATGCATTTAAGGTTGAATTTACATTAATGTATATTTATATCAACTAGAATTACGTCAAAACATTTGGCGACAGTTTTTAGAGAGCTTTTGTATGGAATTGTGCATCTAGTTTTTTATTAGTGATCGATGTATACTTGGGGAGTGCTTTTAGCCGGGATGGAAGATGTGATTTAGATGTGGACAGGCGTGTCGCTGCCGGGAACAAAGTCAATGGTGCACTGACTGCGTTAGTCAAAAGGCAAGGCGTAGTGAAGAGTGCACGCCTTGCAATACATAACGCAGTGTTGGTACCGACTTTGTTATATGGCAGCGAAACCTGGGTATGCCAGAAGAAGCATAAAAGCAAGTTGAATGCAGTGGAGATGCGATCTCTTCGTAAAATGTGCGGCGTTACCATGGCCGACCGAAAGCGAAACGAAGAGATTCGCAATATGGCAGGTTTGAAAGATGACCTTATCACAAAAATTGATAAGGGCGTGCTTCGGTGGTTTGGGCACGTTGAGCGAATAAGTGAAGACCGAATGGTGAAGAAAATCAATAGCGCGAAAGTTAATATTAAAAGGTGTCGAGGTAGACCGAGACTAACTTTCGAAGACCATGTGAGCAAATTGCTCGAAGAGGGTAGGGTCAAGAGTACTCGGATACCTAGACGTGCATGTATGAAGAAGATAATGAATCTGAGAGAAGCGAAAGAGGTTTGTAAGGATCGTGACACTTGGCGATCTGTTCTCTCTGGCTACCCCGTCAGGGATTATGCGTGAAGATAAGTAAGTAATAAGTAAGATGTTGTTTGAAAATTACCTACTGTCCAGTGTGACCATATTACAGGTTCCTGCCATTTTGGCAGGATTGGTCTCTTATTTTAGCCTCTGGCATGATTGGTTGACGTTTTATAAAACTTGGCAGTATTTGGCAGTACTGGGGTAGTAAAAATAGATTTCATTATGGCAACTTAAAATGACGAAAATGGCTGAAAAACGAATTTCCCTGTATTTCTCGATTCTCATATTATGTTTGTATCACATTCAATAAACAACTTTAAAAAAAATGTGTGAAGTTGATAATCTTAAAACGAATTAACATTAGATGGTTAATATTTCAATCAGTCATAAAAGAGATGTAGTTCAGTATGGTATCGAATTAGATTTCATGGTGATAACACCTTGTTAATAATATTTATTGGACGATAGTTATTATAGGTGGCGGTGATGAAGCGAAAATATAAAAGGGCGTATAGAGCGAAGGGGGAGCAAGATCTTTTACTTTAATCATAAATCTCCAAAGCTAAAGAGGATCCAGACTTTGTAACTGCAAAATGGCACCCCGGTTGTCCGCATTAAAGGAGCATGCCGCTACTAGTAAACATCAAAAAAATATAAGTGGATTCAACATGCGAAAGAATATTCTCTCAAATAAATTTAAGTAAGACTAAAACACGAAACTATAAACAAATATTTACTGAGTAACTTGTACGTTAAACAAGGCATTGGTGAGCATGGCCATTGCATTGCATTCATACCAACGAAAGATATCTTTAATTTTAATTAAAAAAAATATAATGTATATTTTTACTTTTCTTAGCTTAATACAATGGTAAATAAAGTTGGCAGTATTTAGGGATTTTTTTACTACAGACTGGCAGGATTTGGCAGGTTTTTAACCAAAGCGAGGCTATTGTCACAAACACAAACTATGGAGTTTTGGCGGGAAATTGACCGGCGGCGGTTTGCTGCTCCTGTATTATTGTTTAAATAATGGTTTGAAGTGGACTTTCATATGTAAAAGTGTTGCGATTTTGTGTATTAAGTGTCTACGCATGTGAACTATTAGTGGAAACAGTGAAACAAGTGCTCTGATGGTGATGGATTCTCAAGATAAGCTGTTTGTTTGCATAGGCACCTTTAGATACCATCGCTAACTGTCAGCTGTCTGCTGGATCAAGTTGCCGCCAAAATCTTCCAAGAACTGCACAATGTGACGCATCAACATATTGTGAAGCAGTGTACTATGAAGGAGTGGGGAAATTACAATAAACCGAATAAAAATACTTAAGACTTGGCCTAAAGGTCTAGATACCAGGCCATAAACTCCAAAAAAAAAAAAACACAAACTATATAGAAATATAGAATATAGAAACACTACTACTGTGGCTTTACACTGTTTCTATATAGTTTGTGATTTACACAGAGTACTTTTATATATACTGAAAGTGGCTTTACCTAACCTAAACCTATTAACCTAATAATCTATGAATTGAATTTAGCATTTTGATGCACTTTTTCGTGATTTCCGGTTACATTTCTTTATAATTCTACATTTTCATGAATTCCATATTGTCTTGATTAGAAAGCATGGATAAACCTGCAGAAATGTCTCAAAAAGATTACGTTGAAGACGGACAAAATAAATTGATAATCAAGTGTAAATTTTGCGGATCTAAAATATTAGATAAAAAATCTGCTAAGTATATCATGCAAGAGGTAATTTTTCATTAATTTCTACTATTCTGACAATAGTTCTGTACATATACATATTCCATAAATATATATTCTTTCATATTTTATATTCCAGAAGGAACTACCATTCATGCAGCAGGATACAAGGAAAGGTGGTGAAGTTCAGATTGAAACAATTAACCAGTTCTATCACGTTGAGAATATGTATACGTTCGAAAATATTGGATTTACGCATACAGTAGCTAACCATAAGTACCTAAGTTGTGCAGATTGTTATGCTGGGCCTCTAGGGTATTACGAAATAGACACTAAACATAGTTATGTGGCACTAACGAGGGTAGAACATTGTTAGTTTTATGGTGCATTAGTACACTTGTTAATAAATTAATACATATAAAATATATACATTTTCATATGTTTATCATATTTAAAATGTATGTTCCCAGTCTTATAAAATAGGGTTAAGTTAAAATTTGGTGCACTCGGTGTTAGGAGTCCTTTCCTGCCACCACCCTATTGTTTATTTCTGCCGCCAAGCAGCGGTGCCTGTACTGCTGTATTCGGGTCTGAAAGGTATAGAGAATTAGAAAATTTACTGGCTGTTAAGCATTCCAGCTTATTCCTATGAGGTGGCAATGCATCTATAGGCGTCTTTGTTTGACGTTGATTGCAAGTGCATGGTCTGCAGTAATCACTTACTAATAGGTGGACTGGAAGTTCATTTTAACAGTAATGTTTAACGGTTGGTAAATGGCGCTTTTTTATTATATTTTAGAGTTAAATTAAATTTATTTAAATAATATACAATATTTATTATAATTAATTACCATGTAGTGGTGACAAGAGAATCTGCTACCTCGTATCATTCCGTGGGTGTCTTATGCCCTGTATCAAAATATGTCGGGGGGCCCAAATGAAAAGATTTTTAAAGATTTTTCTCACAAAATGAACAAAAACTCTTGCATTGAATTAAAATAATTATATACTGATTACAAGTTATTACTTACAATTAATACTCCTAGGAACTAAGCTAGTCAAACAATTCAAACCAACATCCTCTTCCATAGAACTCTTTAGAAGTTTTGCTTACATACGTTTGGGGCTGCTGTAGCCCGGGGGCCCCGTATCGTTGATACTACTGACACGGCAGTAGCTACGGCCCCTGCTGATAACTATAGTTGACAATTTGCCTGCCAATATGGCTACTATGACAAACATTCCCTTTATGAGGCAAATTATGTTGGAGATTATTAGACTGAGTGAAAATTATAATTTAAAAAAAAACTAAAATAATTGGTTCCATCTCTTATTAAATTATTATTAAATTATTATTATTAAAAAACGAGGTGTGGTAATGATTTCTCATGATGTTACCACTTGAAACAACATATTCATTGCTCAGTATGTTTATACCAAGATTCGGGTAAACTTGTTACACGTTACACATAATATCTTACATATTCTATGTAAAAATACATAGGAAATAAATTTATATTAGCCGTGGTAGCTCAGATGGTTAGCGCTCGCTGGAAGTTTCACAGTACTAGAAGTTAATTGCAATTTTAAGCGCTGATTTACCACATGCTAGGCGGTGAAGGAAAACATTGTGAGGAAACCTGCATGTCTAAGAAATAAGAAAAAAATATTTCGAAGACATGTGAAGTTCGCCAAAACGCATTGCGGCAGTGCGGTGGACATTTCCTTGCCTTAAAACTTTCTCAGAGATGAGAGGTGGCCTGTGCCCAGATGTGGCACGTATATAGGCTGTAAATTTAACTTTAAGTTTATGTTATTTTAGGCTTAGAGCCAACTAGCTGAAAGCTCTTCATTTCTTGAATTAAGTATATATTTTTGAATGGAAGTTGAATGAACTGGCTAAATTATTTGGTAGTTTTTCATTAGTATTGTTTTTTCAATGAAAATACTTTAGTTTTGATGGCTTTTATTAACTCAGCTTAAATAATAATAATTATTATTATTATTGACATAATATGAGGTTACAAATAGCCTATGAAGCCTCCGAATCCTAAACTAGGCAAGAACCTGTATGTCAGGATTCAGCACCTTCTCCCATGTTTCTTAGCCTAATTAATTTATATCAAGACAATTTTCCAGTGTATGTGTTGCAAAAATGAAATAAAAATCAAAATTATTTAAGTTTTGCAACACAGTATTAATGCGCTTTTCTTCTCGTATTAGTGTGGTTTAAAAATAATATACGAAACTTAGAGTGTGACCTTGTTAATTCAGCAGCAAAGCCCAATTTCTCTAACTTTGATCGAGGTGTTCAAAAATAATAAATTAAACCAAATTTACATTCTTTGTTTTTATTTCCAAGAAATCACACATAAAATGATAATTTTTTGCTTTTAAATGGATATCTTTCATATGATTTTGTGTAGTTTTTATCTTTTTGATGATTGTGTGATAAATAGGTGTTTTATATTTTAGACTTAGTATGGACGGAAGATTAACATTTAAAAGTTAAAGGTATCCTTTGTTAACTATGAAATTAGGATGTCAAACACCTCAGTCCCCTCCGTGACCATGGGTGCTGTAAAGAAACATTGGAAATTAAAAAGTTAATTCGTATCGCCATCCTGCACCACCATAAGAACACTAGGACTTCATTCAATTTGAATCCTACTTTTAATTTATTTTCAAATTTGGTGGTTTTACATTTTAAATTAAATTACATTAGTATTTAAAAATACAAACATCATTCAAAAAGGTTGCATATCCTAAAAAGTACATTGATTATAGAGCGAGGGAGATAGGCTATCATAAACATTATACAATGTAATACAATATTATTTATATATTATACAATGTAATAAAAAATTATTTAGATATTAATTTTTTTTATTGTATATGTAAAACATTTATTTAGCACATTTATTTCTTCATAAATACTGTATTATGAAATTTATTTATAAGTATAATTTTATACTGGAAATTAACTAATTTTATTTTTTAAGATGCTTTGTGTTATAAAGCTATTTACTTTGTTTAAATGACTATACAAACAAACCTGCCGTAAGTACGACAGAGAACCCAACAGCCGGCGTCCTTGTTCCTCATCTTATTGTACTGTGGGCAGGGAATGTTTAACATTAGTTATAAGCAAGAGACTTATATTCAGCTGTGGACTTTTAAGTGATGATGAAGAACAAGAAGAAATTCCTTATGTTTAAAGCAAAATATAGACTTAATAAATTATTTTAATTAAAAATGTTTGTTGTACCTACCCTAACATTGTTTCATTAGATAACCATGATGTGATGGCCGGGTTCAAGGTTATTTCCTCGTCAAATTATGGCATTGACTGACTAGGTAGTACAGTGTGTTATTTGGCTGCGACGCTTTGGGCCTCTGGTTCTAATAAGGGCTATAAATCACCCTCACCAGATATCGCTAGTGGGGACTGACGTGAACTTATTTATTACACAGATGCTCACACTTGAAAAGTTGCGTTTTAAAAAGTGTTTCGGTTTCTAGTGTATGCTATTCTACTTTTAGGAATGTAGTTCTACATGGTAAAGCTACGCTGCAGCTTTTATTATGGTTGTAGCACGAATGGGTCGGTCCGACCGGGGTAGGACCACGCTCACAGAATACCAGCGTGAAATAGCAGCTTAATGCTGCTGTTTCGTATGGTGAGTGTAGAGAACCGGAGACTCTTTACTGGAAATAAGGCATTCCATCTTAATCCTCAGGAATGATAACACATCTGCATTTTTATTCTAAATCGAGGATAAATGTTGTCTATAGGCCACAGCATTCAGTTACAATCGGGTGGAATGTGTGTTCGTTTGTCACCTAATTCTGCATAAAAAAGGTTGATTAATCCATTTCTAATTAAAATAAAACCTAAATAATATATCAGAAAGAAATATGTACTACATATCTACTCTAATATTTTTCTAACAAATTAACTTTCCCCACCAGAGGGGCGTAGGACTACCGCTGTATTAGCGGTATCAATCATACGGGGGCGGGGCTTTTCTACGTACCACCTTGAGAGTCAATCAATTTTTGTTCGATAAAATGACTTTAACTATAAAATGTTACTACATTCTATTGATGATGGCGTTATTACTCAAATAGGATCACTCTATCTCAAAATTAATTATAAATTAACTAATAGCAAAAGACAGAAAAATTGCGGATTCTACTGGAGCATTTAAGGAGCAATTAATTGACATACAGTTTAATTTTATAGAGTACGTATTTTATGTTTTATAGCAAAATTAAATTTCCGACAACTATTTAAAAAAAAAATAATTATAAAATAACTAATAACAATAGAGGTGGAGCAATTTCGGATTCTGCTGGAGCTTTTAAGGATCAATTAATTGGCATACGGTTTAATTTTTTAAAAAGCAGATATTTTATAGCAAAATTAAATTTTCGATACTTAAATTTTTTTAAAAATTATTTTTAAATTAACTAATAACAATAGAGGTGGAGCAATTTCGGATTCTGCTGGAGCATTTATGGAGCAATTAATAGGCATACAGTGTAGTTAAAAAAAAGAATGTTCTACGCTAACTTCCATCTGGTCCAGCAGTCAATCAAAAGAAATAGCAAAAACTGTGTCGATTTCACGCCTACAAACAATATGTTAACTAAAATGAATAAATCCATTTACGAAAAAGATTTCATGCTAGGAGAGCCAGATTTAGAATAATATTGTTATATTTAAGCATGTTTTAAAAAAAATCTTAGTAATTAATTAAAAACAAATATATTTGGACTTGTTTGGTTCATAATGTTGTATTTTTCTTCGAAAAGTTACATGGTAATTTACACGGTACACTTATAGTTAATCTACCGTAATTTTATCTAATGACTGTATGTTTTTGTTTTTTTTATGTGTGTTACCTCATAACTTGTTACTGGGTGAACCAATTTGGATGATTATTTTTTTATTTGAAAGCTGGTACTTCTCGTGTGGTCCCATATGAATTTGATCATAGTCAGACCAATAGTTTTTGAGTTATTCTTAATAACTCATATTGAAGTCTGCTGTACAAAATTTTTAATTTTAAATTATTACCTTTGCAACACGGTAACTCGATTTACATACGAGGGCGGAAATTATGTCCGATTACTTTGTTAATAAATTTATAAAATCACAACTAATTATCGCACACGTTTCGAACTTCACACAATGAACTAGTCTGAACTGAACTAAATAATGTGGGTAGATTTGATTTTTAGAATTGAATGGATCTGTGTTAGGCCGAGTACTTTTCAATCCACCCTCGTATTATGGAAACACTGCCGCCATGAAATCTTAACTATTTCACCTCATTTCTAAGTAATACCCTCATTCCGCATGGAACTAGT